CCAAAACTGAGATCCGCTTACCTAGAAGCGAACCTTTTTTGAAGAGCAGAGAGATTGTTCCAAACCCACAAAATCCAGGTCTCTATAACTGACTCATCTCTGTCCCGCTCCTGCCCCGATCACATCGGGGATTCACACAAAATGAAAGTCAATAATTCCTGTTGACTGACGTATCCAAAGTCTATGCAAGAGCAGACAAAGAGATCTTCACGTTTAACATCTGCATTTAATTATCTTACAATCAGATACAGAATATTCAACAAAAAGTGCTCCTAAAACATATATGTCCCTCTCGTCCCTGGCCCCTCGGCTGACTGAATGCCAATCTCCTCCCTGCATTTTCTATCAAAGGGTCCGATGACGTCACAGTCTGGGGATCTGGTCTGGCCCTGGTCCTGACGCCGTCTTGGCTTCCCTCACCACCATGAGCAAACAATGCCCCCCACCACTGGCGCCTGATTGTGTTATGTGACTTTGCCCTCGTCCAGAGTGGGAGAGAGCATTTGTTTATTCTTGGAGTTCAATAATTGTCCGTGGTTCTTTGTAAGCTGGTCATCTCAATTATTCCTAGGAGTGCATATTCCTTTGTCCTTGGGCTTTTCCCCGTGCTCATCTTCTTCAGAGGGCCTATTTTTCAAATCATTAGTATACAAACATTTTAATTATGCCACAGTAGGACTTGACAAAATCGTTGAAATGGCCAACACCATCAACGACTTACCTACATTAGCTTGTGTTATTGTGGTGTTGTATGTTAAACCTCTGAGTTATAGCAGTCTTAGGTTAGAATCAGTGTGTCAGGTAATCACTTATGCCTCACAAGAAAACAATGTCCAACAGATTCAAACTGTGTTTGGCCCAGGTCTGTATTCTGTCCTGGAGTTTTGTCTATGTTGGTTTTCCGAGGTGCAACCGGATCTACCATCACCCCAACATCCATCGTTAGTTACATCTTCCAGCTCAGAAACAGCAGTGATGTGAGGATGGACCAACAAATGCAAGAGGACACATTATGCCTACTGGGACAAAAAATAGCACCTAGGCTCAAACTAAAGAAAGGAAAACAGAAATATGCATGGATAAAAATATACCAATGTAACTTGCGATGTAAAGTGTTGAATACACTACTAATGTTGCATACACAGTTTTCTGACGCAGTAATCAAATTGGAGTTCAAAAATAAGTCCTTTGCAGCCGTGAGTGCTTTGCTGTGTCCCTACTCTTTCAAAGACCCGCAAAATTATTACTGCTATTAAACGGGGCAAGTAGTGAGGATTTATAATGTCTAATAAATCTATATGATGATTTATTGGCTCTGAGCCTCACCTAGCTCGGTATGGGTACAAAAAAGGATCTGTACAATAACTTCCGATTGGCCGCAGTCCTCAGTGGGTAAGACATGAAATAGTTTTCCAATGCCCCAGGACATGGATGTGTCCTGGGGCTATGGATCCTTAGTTTGAATAATTAAAACAGAGATATTTTGCACAGTCTGATTTGTTTTTATCTTCTTAACATTATAAAGGCAATGGTTTTGTAAAATGCTTTTCCCATGAGGCTGAGGCGCCCTTTGAATATAAGAATAATTGGCTCGCTGAATTAGGACTACATTCCTCTGGTTTTACGTAAAATATTAATACTTGCTTTCTAACGCCACTTCTTGTATCATTTTGTTTAACTGCTTTGAAATATTAACTAAAACCATTGCAAAATGGATATTAGCCACAAACTGCATAAAAACATGGTTACAACAGTTACCACAGCTGATATATTCTATAACTATTTTCCCAGACCCACGATGCTGCTAACATGTACAGATGTAAACACACTACTAATGTCATAACTGGCTCTAGAATATACAGTTTTATATACTTCTTTATAATGCCTTTACTTGCTTCTTCATATTTTATTTTCTGTTGGAGATTTTAGATCAACAGACGTTCTTATTATGCTAAAGATAGAGATTTTATCCTTGCTTGCTTTCTTTTCTAGAGTTAGATATTTTGTTTTTATTTTACCAATAGAGTTATTATTCATTGATCTTGTGCTGTGATGCTCCTCATTCCTACTGTACTGTCACTTTGTGATTAGTTTTACATGTGCCTCACTGTGTCCGCGCAATGTTTTTTATTTCTTTTGTCTGTGTGTGTTGTGTGTGTGTGTGTGTTTGTGTTGTGTTATCTTTGTGTGCTCGGAGTCCTCCTGTTAGTAATCCAATGTATTTTTTTTTTTTTTGCAAATGGCAACACATGAAATTTCCTCCACAACTGAAGAACAAATAAAGGATCTCTTAATCTTAATAATCCTCTTTATATTTAAGGGGTTTTACTTTATAGTTATCTTTTCCATACCTCAAAGCTCTAGAGAGACCACACAACATTGACACATCGTTTTTAAATAGTAAGAGCAGTCTCATTAACCACCCCTTTTTGAAGTGACTCTTTTCTGTCTTTTAAAAGATCCCTTTTTTGTTTTTTGCTATAACAGTGAATCTTATCATTGTTTTATCTTCTTTTTACTCCCAACTTTTATTCACAAATAAAATCCTTATTGGCAAACTACAAGACAGACAACTTCCTGATCCATGGATAGTACAATGTTTTTTTTTTCTGATGAGGTCCCTTTTTCCTCCCATTTCATAAAAAAGCTGGTAGCAGTGTTCAAAAAGCAGTGAATCTTGTGCTGACAAACAAATCTGTGGAAAGAAACCCGACGATTCCCCTTCTGCAACCCGAGTGTTTTTGCTCCTCTCTGTTTCACTCGGACGCGCTGAAAAATCAAACCGTGTCTAAAGATTTTACTTTGAAGGGGAATCCGCCAGCCGAATCAGTTCTGTGTCGAGCCTACTCTCGCCAAGGCCAGCTGGATGTCCGCCGGCCAAGGAGCGCGGTGAGACAGAGAATTGGACACATCTCCTCCATGGGCTGTTTCTCATCTTTTAGACACACACGCTGAAAAGACGACTGTAGGCCTGTGCTTTCTTATCACTAAAAATAAAGACCTTTTGTCGCTTTTTAAACGAAAGCTTTTTTTCTACTGTTTTCTCCGACTCGTGTGCCACCGCTTTCCTCTTCCCATACTTTCCGCCTTTTGTTCCTTGTTTTGTATGTGTCTACGTTTACATGTATTTTTATATTTCCAGGAGGACTTTGAGAAAGCTGCATTTTTTCTCAAGAGCGATTGAATGGCGAAGACTGAGCCCGCGGTGCGTAAACCTTTTTCTAAACATTATCGGGGCTTTGTTAGTTAGTCAAAAAAGGTTTAAGGATGTGTGATTTTATTGGTTCCCAAAAGAGTCAAAGAAAACAATAAAACAGCAAAAGTGCGCGTGTAGCAGCATAACATCAAAGACAAGTGTAAGTAAGCAAGATCAGTAGGAGTCCTAAGAATTATGAAGCGCCTTTTCCTTTACTGCTAACTCAAACAACATACAAAATACACATTTTTCCTTCATCATGACCAATTACTCTGATGTCTACTTTTGTGTCCGCCCTGGTGAAGGCACAGCAAGCCAGCACAGTTGATTTGAATATCACAAGTTTCATACCCAAGGCAGCTCTAAGTGCTGAACAGAATAAGAAGGAAACAATCTTACAAGGCAGGTAAGAAACAATCCTCAGTTGTACACAGTTAAACAGACTTTTTTAACCTGATTTGAACATTGTCAAATAAGAAGGTCTGTCCTCATATCTTCAGGAAGATTGTTCCAGATTTAAGCTGCATGAACCTGAAACACTGCCTCCTCGAAGGTTTAGTCCCTGACGCTCTGGGACCGCAGGAGCCATTCCCCTGTGCTCCTCAGAGTCCCAGCAGGAGGGCCAGTCCCTGTGCTCCTCAGAGTCCCAGCCGAGTCGCATCCCTGTGCGCTTCAGAGTCCAGTCATGTAGGCCAGTCCCTGTGCACCTCAGAGTCCCAGCATGAGTCCCAGTCCACTGTGCTCCTCAGGGTCCATAGCAGAAGGCTAGTCCCCTGTGCGCTTTAGAGTCGGTTCATATGGCACTGAACATGCCAAGATGTACTTTGGTGCGAGGCCTTGAGAGACCTGAGGACTGTACTAATGTTGTCGTTCTTCCTGTTCTTGTCAGGACTGAGCTGCACTTAACCCCACTCTGCCTTAGGGCCGACCCCCTGAAAGACCAAGGCCCTGTGTCCCAAATTCCCCAAACCCAAACTTAACATACATTTCATGTATATACGTAATGAATGAATAACCTCTAATAAAATCTACTTCTTCATGGGGGCACTTAGTGCCTAACTATTCTCTCTCTCTCTGTCTCTCTCTCTGTCTCTCTCTGTCTCTCTCTCTCTCTCTCTCTGTCTCTCTCTGTCTCTCTCGTCTCTCTCTCTGTCTCTCTCTGTCTTGTCTCTCTCTGTCTCTCTCTGTCTCTCTCTGTCTCTCTCTCTCTGTCTCTCTCTGTCTCTCTCTGTCTCTCTCTGTCTCTCTCTGTCTCTCTCTCTCTGTCTCTCTCTGTCTCTCTCTGTCTCTCTCTGTCTCTCTCTCTCTCTCTCTCTCTGTCTCTCTCTGTCTCTCTCTGTCTCTCTCTGTCTCTCTCTGTCTCTGTCTCTCTCTCTCTGTCTCTCTCTGTCTCTCTCTGTCTTTCTCTCTCTGTCTCTCTCTGTCTCTCTCTGTCTCTCTCTCTCTGTCTCTCTCTGTCTCTCTCTGTCTCTCTCTGTCTCTCTCTGTCTCTCTCTCTCTCTCTCTCTCTCTGTCTCTCTCTGTCTCTCTCTGTCTCTCTCTGTCTCTCTCTCTCTGTCTCTCTCTGTCTCTCTCTGTCTCTCTCTGTCTTTCTCTGTCTGTCTGTTTTATTAAGTTACCAATTGTTGATGTGATGATATTGATCTGTATTTTACTGAAAAGGCCCATGGTCGTGAACATGGCCAGCTTCCAGGTCGACAGCTCCAGGTTTGCTGGGAGCTACCTGGATGATCACAGGACATTCAGAGAAGACTCTGCTGATTTAGAGTATCATGACATCACTTTCAGTGGTTACACGTGTTAGAGTTCAGCCACACGAGCAGAGGTCCACAGAAGAGCAGCTTCCTCCTGCAGGAAGGATGCAGGCCGTGTGTGCCGCGCTCTGGCCGGTCACAAACACACGTCTGTGAGCGCGTCTTCATCGGCTTCGACAAACGCCGTCGCCTCCTCGCTCTCTGCACAAGATATCTTATCCAAGATGGCGCCTTGTACGGTCGACATGGCTCTTTGCTGCTCTCTTTTTCTTTTGTTTTTACTTTTTAACTGTGCATCTGGCTGTTCCTACACCCGTGAGGAACTTATGAACATCCGACCCACCGTTCCCATGGACCTATTGCCTGTTTTCTTGGCATCTGCGGCTGATTTAGTTCATGTTCTAGCCAAAAAAGTGTGGGCCCGTAAAAGGGGAAAGCGAGGAGGCCTGCTCGTGCGTCTTAGGAGGAGAGGAGCGCGCACGGCTCTCCCCGGCATTTTTCTCTCCAACGTACGCTCACTGGGCAATAAGATGGACGAACTCAGCCTGCTCATGAGAAGAAACAAGGACTTCGCCACATCCTGTGTCCTCTGCTTCACTGAGACCTGGCTAAATGAGCGGATCCCGGACTGCGCTCTGGAGCTGCAGGGCTTTGGGCTGTTTCGCGCGGATCGCCATTGTGCGCTCTCAGGGAAGAGCAGAGGCGGAGGGCTCTGTTTCTACGTCAATACAAACTGGTGTAACGATGTGACAGTGATCTCCAAGCACTGCTCTCCTGCTCTGGAATATCTTTTCATTCATTGTAAACCATATTACTCCCCGCGGGAAATTGTTTCATTCATTCTTGCCTCTGTTTACATACCGCCATGCGCGGACGCGCGCGAGGCTCAGCGCGCACTCGCAGAGCAAGTACTGTGTATGGAACGCTTATACCCGGACTCTCTGATTATTATCCTGGGGGATTTTAATAAGGGAAACTTGAGCCAGGAATTACCCAAATACAGACAGTTTATCAAATGCCCGACCAGAGAGGAGAACACTCTGGATCACTGCTACACCACCGTGCGCGGAGCTTTTCGCGCTGTTCCCAAGCCAGCCCTCGGCTTCTCAGATCACTCCATGATACATCTGGTTCCTGCTTACAGACAGAGACTAAAGCTCTCGAAACCTGCAGTGAGGAGCTCCAAAGTGTGGTCTGATGAAGCTGTGGAAGAGCTGCGCGCATGCATGGAATCTACAGACTGGGACCTTTTCAGAGCTGCCACAGACAGCTTGGATGAATATACGGACACTGTGACGTCATACATCCACTTCTGTGAGGATAGCATCATTCCAACAAGGACCAGGGTCATCTATAACAACGACAAACCCTGGTTCACTGCTAAACTCCGGCAGCTCAGGAAAGCAAAGGAGTCTGCTTTCAGGGAGGGGGACCGCAGCGGCTACAAAGCAGCTAAATATCAGTTCAGGAAAGAACTGAAAGCAGCCAAGTCCCGGCACAGAGAACGACTACAGGAGCAGTTTGGTAACAACGATACTGCTTCTGTCTGGAGGGGCCTACGGGAGATCACCAACTACAAACCCAAAGCCCCCCCCTGTGCTGATGACCACAAGCTAGCTGACGATCTGAACCTATTTTTCAGTCGCTTTGATGCTGCCCCTGACACCTCTCCCTCCCCCACCCCCCACTACTCTAACGACCCACCCATCAGCCCTGCCCCCAGCCTAACAATAGCCGCTAAAGAGATTAAACAACTCTTCCTGAGGCTGCACCCCCGCAAAGCTCCTGGCCCGGACCACGTGTCTCCGGCCACTCTGAGACACTGCGCCAGTGAGCTTACTCCTGTGTTCACGGACATTTTCAACTCCTCTCTGCAGTCCTGCCATGTCCCGGCCTGCTTCAAATCCTCCATCATTGTCCCCGTCCCGAAGAAGCCCAGGATCACAGGACTCAATGACTACAGACCTGTAGCACTTACGTCTGTCGTCATGAAGTCATTTGAACGCCTGGTTCTCTCCCATCTCAAGTCCCTCACCTCCCCCCTCCTGGACCCCCTGCAGTTCGCCTACAGAGCCAACAGATCTGTAGACGACGCCATTAACCTGGCCCTCCACCACATCCTACAGCACCTGGACTCCCCGGGGACCTACGCCAGGGTCCTGTTCGTGGACTTCAGCTCTGCCTTCAACACAATCCTGCCATCCCTGCTCCAGGACAAGCTCTCCCAGCTCAACGTGCCCGATTCCACCTGCAGGTGGATCACTGACTTCCTGTCGGACAGGAAGCAGCGAGTGCGTCTGGGGAAGAATGTCTCGGACTCTCGGATTATAAATACAGGAGCCCCACAGGGCTGTGTTCTTTCTCCCCTGCTCTTCTCCCTGTACACCAACCACTGCACCTCCAGCCACGACTCCGTGAAGCTGATCAAGTTCGCGGACGACACCACCCTCATTGGACTCATCTCCAACAACGATGAGTCCGCCTACAGGAGGGAGGTGGACCGGCTGGTGTCCTGGTGCAGTGGTAACAACCTGGAGCTGAACGCCCAGAAGACAGTGGAGATGATTGTGGACTTCAGGAAGAGCACTGTCCCCCCGCCCCCACCCTCCGTGATGGACTCCCCCATCACCTCTGTGGAGTCCTTCCGTTTCCTGGGCACCACCATCACCCAGGACCTCAAGTGGGAGCCGACCATCAGCTCCCTCATCAAGAAGGCCCAGCAGAGGATGTACTTCCTGCGGCAGCTCAGGAAAGCCAAGCTGCCTGCACAGATGTTGGTGCAGTTCTACACGGCCATCATCGAATCCATCCTCACCTCCTCCGTCACCTCCTCCGTCACCTCCTCCATCACCGTGTGGTTCGCTGGAGCCACAGTCAGGGACAAACAGAGACTACAGCGCATTGTGCGCTCTGCAGAGGAAGTGATCGGCCGCAGCCTTCCATCGCTGCAGGACCTGTACGTCGCCCGAGCTCGAGGCCGGGCTGGTCGTATCACAGCCGACCCCTCTCACCCTGCACATGGACTATTCCAACCACTCCCCTCAGGCAGGAGGCTGCGGTCCATCAGGACTAGAACCTCCCGCCACAAGAACAGTTTCTTCCCCTCTGCTGTTGGACTCTTGAACACTTCTTAACCTGTCCCCCCGCCCTTTATAAAGTCACTTTACTGCCCATCATACGTCACTTTACTTCACTGTACTGCTGTCACCTTACATTGTGTGCACCATGTGCACTTGTATATTGTAAATAGTAACTGTAACTCTATTTTAAATTTAAATTTATTCTTTAGAAGTGTTTTTTATTCTTATTTTTATTATCTCTTTTTGACTGTTGCACTGAGCCAAAGCAATTTCCAAGTCTGTGACCTCCCGTTACTTACGTTGGCAATAAAAATGATTCTGATTCTGATTCTGAAGTGAAAGTAACACCAGACATTACCGTTTGCAGTGAGACGGATGTATTTCGCAAGATCAGTTTGAGTCAACTTTTGAGTCAATATATCTCCTTTACAGTAAGCTTGCTAGGAACTGAAATACACCTCTTTAGGGCATGTCACTTATAGATTTATATAGACAGTGCCTCAAAAAATCCAAAATAGAAAAAATACGTTTATATTTTCAAGGAGTGAACGTAGGGTTAGGGTTGGAAGTCTATGGCAGTTGGAAGTCTTTTGTGGTTGTTGTGATGAGATTCTTCATCCTCTCTGATGTTAAATCTGCACATTCTTCTTGGCAAAAAGCCTCCAGTTCCTGTACATTTCTGGGCTGCCTTCCACGAGCAGCACATTTGAGAGCTCCCCAATTTGGCTCCATGATGTTATAATTTGAAAATAGAAAACATGTGTATCAGACAATAATCAGAATCAGAAGAAAAAACGTTGCCAGTTGCAGTAAAGCCATATTGGAATAGATTTAAAGAAGTAGCTCAGTGTGCTCCCGGCAAGTACATACAGTATACAAAATAATCAAATAATGCCACTGTGAGACTAATCAACTGTGGACGATCATAGTGCTTTGTCCAGACTGATCTTTGATAATGAATGTCTCTTTCTGTATATTGTGCAAAAAATACATTTAAAATCTTTGTTACTGTAACTCATCAAAGGCTAAAAACTCTGTTGCAACCACATAAGGATATCAATCTTTAAAATATTTTGAGAAAAGCCGATAATATCATCTCTGCATGTGTGCCCAACGTCATAATCTAATCTGACCTAATCTGATTGCATTGATTTCTGTCCTCTCTCTTCCCGACAAGCCATTTCCTGTCCTATCAGGGGACATGTTACAGTAAAACCAGCCTTCATTTCATTTTTTCTGTGTTGTATTTTGGGGAAAGTGTGGAAGCAGTGGCTGTCACCGGCTCAGTCCTCACATGAGTCTCTTCAGAGCCCTGGATGTGTGGCTTTGTGGCCCAGGTCGCTGCCTCTACACTCAGTCAGGAAGAGCTGTGCAGATGGGAGCTGACCCACTGGCCCTGTCCTGCTACTGATGCTACACACCACATTGTTGCACAGGAGATATATATGTCTCACAGATAACATGTGAAGCGTCTTTGAGTGTCCATAAAAGTGCTTTTTAAAACCAATGTATTATTCTATGCACTCTCCAGAGTCTTCCTGCCTGTCACACAGCTCCATTGCACTGATTTCTGTTGCAATCTACTGTACCTACTACTGAGTTTTTTTCATTTAGGATCAGGACCAGGATCAGACTTTATTTAATCGCCAAAACACACCAAGAAACACTTGTATCCTGCTCCAGTCGCTCTGATCGTACGCCAACCTTTTCATTCTTTCATTCTCATTCATTCATTTCTCAGGCTTACACTCTTTACTCCAAGGCGCACTCCCGTGTACGCAGTGCGCCCGCGCACACACACACACACACACACACACACACACACACACACACACACGCACACACACACACACACACACACGTCGCACTGAGCTGCTGCACATTGGGGAAAGACACATCTCACAATTATTTACATTGACTCTGATGCAAAGAAAGCAATCCATGCTCAAGCTGTTGGCCACAGTAGCAGAGTGTAAACAGAAATAGAAACAGAAAGTTGACTTTGACAAAGAGGTAGTTGCTTAAGTTAGCATTAGCGCCCCCAGATAAATGTGAGGTGCTTTTTTTCTGTTCTTTTTTTTCTTTCAAGTCCAGACCAGTTGAAATTCACATGAACCAATTGGCAACCCAAATGAGAGCCTCGTTCTGTTCTCTGATTGGATAATCTGTTGGAAAACATGTTCACCTGTTCCAAAGTGTCATCCCTGATTATAAGATCATTTCATTTTGAAATGATTGCATAACATTTATGATATAATATGTATTGGATGGAACGTAACAAGTCTGCTCAACATTTCATTTCGATGCCTCTGCAGGTTCACATATGACCCAAAACTCTCCAGAGCAAACAGGTATATTCAGCAGATATATTCTCAAAGCAGGTGACAGTTTTTACAGTATCCAGCAGCTCTCTGTTATAAGAAGGAAAGCTGCTGTTCCCATGAGTCACGCAGTAAAGACAAGTGTGTTTACTCGTACGGGAGCAGCTCTTCCTGCTCATAACAAAGCTCTCCGCTCAGGCAGCTCAGGGGAGCCTCCTGATGCTATAAATATGGACCTGTCTTTGTCCAGGTTGGCGTCACACAGAATTCTTCCCAGACGGGTAGCCTTCGCATTAGCCCATAGTTCAGCCGTCAGATAGTTATGATGTTTGTGTCCATTATGGTCCTTAAGCATGATCTTGTCAATTTTTACTTCATAATTTTACTTTAAATCTGTAATTTTTAAATGTGAAATAATTTCTTCTAGAGATAAACATTAATAATTGTGTAAGTGATGACAGAAAGAGCACCCATCTATTTTCTTCTTTAATCATTGCTGGTCGCGGGGGCAGCAGTCTAAACAGAGACGCTCAGACTTCCCTATCCACACATACTTCCTCCAGCTCATCCGGGGGAATCCTGAGGGGAGTCCCTCCAACATGTCCAGGGTTTTCCTCAGGGTCTCCTCCTGGTGGGACATGCTCGGAGCAGCTCCTCAGGGAGGCATTCAGCAGGGATCCGGAACAGAGACCAATCAATTCTCTTTATTTACAAAACTTCATATAGTCCCACAAGTCTGAGCTCTTCACCCTATCTCTGAGGGAGCGCCCAGCAGACGTAGATTAAACGATAAATGGAGAGCTTTGACGGCAGGCGCTGATCCCTCTTCGGAGGATGAGTAGATAGATCGATAGATAGATACTTTATTGATCCCCGTAGGAGAAACTCAGGTGTCCAGTAGCAGCAAAAATAAAAAATAAAATTGATCATTCTAAAAAGCTAATAATAGTAATAATCAGCAACAGCCCTTCAGGTAACAGCAGCAGAGGTGGAGTAGTCTCTGGGTGGAGCAGGACAGGTCACAGCAGCAGAGGTGGAGTAGTCTCTGGGTGGAGCAGGACAGGTCACAGCAGCAGAGGTGGAGTAGTCTCTGGGTGGAGCAGGACAGGTCACAGCAGCAGAGGTGGAGTAGTCTCTGGGTGGAGCAGGACAGGTCACAGCAGCAGAGGTGGAGTAGTCTCTGGGTGGAGCAGGACGGGTCACAGCAGCAGAGGTGGAGTAGCCTCTGGGTGGAGCAGGACAGGTCACAGCAGCAGAGGTGGAGTAGTCTCTGGGTGGAGCAGGACAGGTCACAGCAGCAGAGGTGGAGTAGCCTCTGGGTGGAGCAGGACAGGTCACAGCAGCAGAGGTGGAGTAGCCTCTGGGTGGAGCAGGACGGGTCACAGCAGCAGAGGTGGAGTAGCCTCTGGGTGGAGCAGGACGGGTCACAGCAGCAGAGGTGGAGTAGCCTCTGGGTGGAGCAGGACGGGTCACAGCAGCAGAGGTGGAGTAGTCTCTGGGTGGAGCAGGACGGGTCACAGCAGCAGAGGTGGAGTAGCCTCTGGGTGGAGCAGGACGGGTCACAGCAGCAGAGGTGGAGTAGCCTCTGGGTGGAGCAGGACAGGTCACAGCAGCAGAGGTGGAGTAGTCTCTGGGTGGAGGCAGGACAGGTCACAGCAGCAGAGGTGGAGTAGTCTCTGGGTGGAGCAGGACAGGTCACAGCAGCAGAGGTGGAGTAGTCTCTGGGTGGAGCAGGACAGGTCACAGCAGCAGAGGTGGAGTAGCCTCTGGGTGGAGCAGGACAGGTCACAGCAGCAGAGGTGGAGTAGCCTCTGGGTGGAGCAGGACGGGTCACAGCAGCAGAGGTGGAGTAGCCTCTGGGTGGAGCAGGACGGGTCACAGCAGCAGAGGTGGAGTAGCCTCTGGGTGGAGCAGGACGGGTCACAGCAGCAGAGGTGGAGTAGTCTCTGGGTGGAGCAGGACGGGTCACAGCAGCAGAGGTGGAGTAGCCTCTGGGTGGAGCAGGACGGGTCACAGCAGCAGAGGTGGAGTAGCCTCTGGGTGGAGCAGGACAGGTCACAGCAGCAGAGGTGGAGTAGCCTCTGGGTGGAGCAGGACGGGTCACAGCAGCAGAGGTGGAGTAGCCTCTGGGTGGAGCAGGACAGGTCACAGCAGCAGAGGTGGAGTAGTCTCTGGGTGGAGCAGGACAGGTCACAGCAGCAGAGGTGGAGTAGTCTCTGGGTGGAGCAGGACAGGTCACAGCAGCAGAGGTGGAGTAGCCTCTGGGTGGAGCAGGACGGGTCAAAGCAGCAGAGGTGGAGTAGCCTCTGGGTGGATCAGGATGGGTCACAGCAGCAGAGGTGGAGTAGCCTCTGGGTGGAGCAGGACGGGTCACAGCAGCAGAGGTGGAGTAGCCTCTGGGTGGAGCAGGACAGGTCACAGCAGCAGAGGTGGAGTAGCCTCTGGGTGGAGCAGGACGGGTCACAGCAGCAGAGGTGGAGTAGCCTCTGGGTGGAGCAGGACGGGTCACAGCAGCAGAGGTGGAGTAGCCTCTGGGTGGAGCAGGACAGGTCACAGCAGCAGAGGTGGAGTAGTCTCTGGGTGGAGCAGGACAGGTCACAGCAGCAGAGGTGGAGTAGTCTCTGGGTGGAGCAGGACAGGTCACAGCAGCAGAGGTGGAGTAGCCTCTGGGTGGAGCAGGACGGGTCAAAGCAGCAGAGGTGGAGTAGCCTCTGGGTGGATCAGGATGGGTCACAGCAGCAGAGGTGGAGTAGCCTCTGGGTGGAGCAGGACGGGTCACAGCAGCAGAGGTGGAGTAGCCTCTGGGTGGAGCAGGACAGGTCACAGCAGCAGAGGTGGAGTAGCCTCTGGGTGGAGCAGGACGGGTCACAGCAGCAGAGGTGGAGTAGCCTCTGGGTGGAGCAGGACGGGTCACAGCAGCAGAGGTGGAGTAGCCTCTGGGTGGAGCAGGACAGGTCACAGCAGCAGAGGTGGAGTAGTCTCTGGGTGGAGCAGGACAGGTCACAGCAGCAGAGGTGGAGTAGTCTCTGGGTGGAGCAGGACAGGTCACAGCAGCAGAGGTGGAGTAGTCTCTGGGTGGAGCAGGACAGGTCACAGCAGCAGAGGTGGAGTAGCCTCTGGGTGGAGCAGGACAGGTCACAGCAGCAGAGGTGGAGTAGCCTCTGGGTGGAGCAGGACAGGTCACAGCAGCAGAGGTGGAGTAGCCTCTGGGTGGAGCAGGACAGGTCACAGCAGCAGAGGTGGAGTAGCCTCTTGGTTCGGACCAGTTTCTCTGCTCTAGTCCAAAGTAAAATGCTAAATGCTTCATTAGCATTCTTCAAAAAGTTAGCATTCCTTCAGTGGATTTTCACCTGATCCACTTGGTTTGGACCATGAATCCTCTCTGCTCTGGTCTGGACCCATGTAACTGCAGCAACATCTCAAGTAGAAAAAAGCAATAAAAATAAAAATCCAAAAGCTCAAAACAACAACTGTTTCAGAGCTACTTAGGACTTGCAGCCGTTTTCCAGCGCATTCAAAAGTAAAGTACAACACAAGAGTTGGAGTTAAATATATTGTCACTGTCCATGTGAAGGGAACTAAAAATCACTCCAAGAATGTTCAGTTAATGAGTTCAGTGAATCCAGGGAACTAGACTGTTGAGTCCTCCTGAGTCTGCCCGGCCTGCTGCTCTGTGACTGCATTGTCTCTGTAACATACGGGAACTTAAAAGCATGGCTAACCACTTTAGGCCTGTATTAAATATTGTATCTTAGAAACCACTTATAAGCTGTATTATCAGACTTAAAAGCATGGCTAACCCCTCCAGAAATGTGTTAATTGACTTAGAAGCACGGCTAAACACTTCAATCCTGTATTTTATGAATTTAGAAGCATGGTTTACCACCTAAAAGACATGTATTCATGAATTTAGAACCACGGCTAACCCCTTTCAAATCGGTGTCATTGGAATTATAAGCATGGAAAACCCCTTCAAACCTATCATTGAGCAAGCATGGCTAACCACATGAACCCCACTGAAAGATCAAGGCTATGCTCACACTCAGAGAGCAGCCATCCTCCTGTGGACTCACCACCTGCAGAGGGTCAG